GATCACTTTACATTTCTCCATATTAAACGATATCTGGCTGAGGTCTGTTCACCTTGCAAGCCTGTTCAGGTCGGCCTTTATTGCTAGCCTGTCTTTGGGCATGTCACCTGAGGCCTTTTATTATTTTTATGTAAATTACAAGCATTAGTTTATGTTCAGCCACATCAAAACAAAGAAAGGCAAATAGCACTTCCCAAAACCGACTCATTCCAGTGGCAGCCCAAACTATCTTGGTATTAGTGGCTCTGAGAAACCACAGTAAGATACTTCAGAAAACATCACCGGCAAGTAAACAGCAGAATACTGCTTAGATGCTTTGATGCAATTAAATAGCATTATAGCATGTATTCTAATGTAAGGCATGGAGGTATCCTCTTCCCCTTGTTTCCTTGGCAGTTCCAGGAATTCAGGGATTTCTGGAGCCACAGGAGAAAATGTCTCCAAGAGCTACTCCACCCACCCTTGTTTCTGATTTACTTGTAGGGGGCCACAGAGATATGAACAGTACCAGGGGTTCAACTCCAATATTGATACAAATTTTGTTTATTTATAACATTATATTGATTTATTATTGCAACGTTTTGTTATGACAGGCTTGCCATGTCTTTTTATTGAATTTTTACTCATGATGTCAAAGGAAAATGATTGCTTAAATGTTTATATTTTAGTTAGTTATAGAATTATATGGAATATTGAAGGCAATTAAAAAAATCCTAAGAGATCCCTGTTTTCTGTCAACTTGTCAGGCCTCCTAGTGTCAAGGAAAATAATACCTCTTTAACCATATATGCTATTCCCAGGTGTGTTTATATCACTGGCATACAATCATACATTACATCATACCATCTAAGCAGTATTCTGCTGTCTGCTTGACAGAATGCAGCTCTGCATTTTCAAATTTGCCTTAACATTCTATATTAGTTTCTTTTATACTTGATCTGAGCCTTCAAGAGGCTGAGAAGCGATGTATGATTGTATGCCAGTATGAAAGACATCCACAAGCACTTGTCGTTGTGATTCATGCTTTGGAAGGAACATTTGAAAGGAGTCTTTAACTGCAAACTATATGTACTAAAATTGAAGGTTGGCAATCTAGAAACCATTTGATCAAAACTGAAAACACCCACAAGGTTGTCCTTAGCCCATTCTCTAAGACAGTGGTCAGCAACATTTTCTGATGCAGGGCTAGAATGACACAGCTCAGGTCTGATGTGGGTCAATGCTAGTTCCTGTCCACTGTTGCTACCACTTCTCTCCACCACTGGGCTATGGTAAAGCCCCCCACTTCCCAGCTGCAGTGTGGGTGGAGGCTCCCACTGTCAAATACTACTAAAACACCTGGTACCATGATCCAGTCTGGTCCGTGGACTGCAGGTTGCAGATCCCTGCCCAAGATGCCAGTCTGGCTCAAGGAAACAAAGTACATAATTATTTATGTTTTTGGAAAAGTGCTGGTTGTGTGAAAGAGTGGGAGCTTCTTCTCTAGTCAGGAACACAGAGAAGCCATGCTTAAAGAGTCTTTTATTTAAGAGAGAAACTATTTCACAGAAACCTGCCTTGACTCAAGCATGATGCCACTGTTATATGACTAGAAAGAGGTTTTATGTACAAAAATTACAAGAGTCTATGGTATTACAACTCATACTAGCATAAGAAGTCATTTGAATATAAAAATATAGGAATAAAAAGGGATTAATTAGTTACTTGGTAGTATTTAAGCAACCTCTTACCAAATGCAGAATGACAAGGGACACCTATACAAGTAAGAAGGCACAATGACTTCCCTGATGCCTAAATTTAAAGACTCTTTAAGAATTATTTAAATTTAAAAGCTTATTTTGGGAACTAAAAGAACTCTGCATAGGAAAAAAGAAGGTTTAGACTAATTTAAACTCCAGTTAAACCCAGATGAACCTTAAGGGATGTCTCAGAAAATGGGCTGAGTAAAGAAAGAGTTAAAATTCTATCGTATAAATGTTACATACTATATTTAGTAGAATCCAAGACAAGGTTTTATTTCCCCATTTATCTGTTTGCTAGAACATTCGCTTGCCAAAATAACTTGCATAAAGTTATTCTCTAAGGACATACACTGTCTTGCAGCATATCAACTATTCCGTGTCACTGCTGGCCTTATCTCTACTGGCAAAATGGATTTGGTTAATAGAATAATGTTTGCACCTAAGCATCCATATTGCCAAATATACCTATGTTCCAGCCAGATCCTTCCATGGAAGACTGGAGCAGAGGCGGGGGTGTCACAGAGATTCCTAGAATTATACAGAAATCATCTGTATTCTGTCACCTCTGGCTCAGAACCAGGTGTCATATTTTCTCACATATAACCCATACCTTTCCCACAAAACCAGCTGGGGAAAATTGGGTGCACATTATATGCAAGGAAAAGGGATCACCATGGGGCCAGAAATTTGGTGGGCATGGGGCAGAATTAATTACTGTGGCTCTGGGAGTCCAGGAATTAATTCTGCCACTGCTCCTGCCCTCTGCCACCAAATTTCTGGACCTGTGAGGAGCTCCTCTCCCTAGCTATGTGATCAGGCAAGCATGCAGAGTTGATATGTGGCCATATTTGGCATGCCAAGTCCAACCCAACACATACCAGGTGTGACCTCACAGGAAGGCTCTGGAGCCATGTGCTGGGTTGGACCCAACGCACTGAGTACAGGACCATAAGCTGGATCTTAAGCCACATGCTGGCTCCAGAGTCATGTTCTGGGTCTGATTCTGTGTACTGGCTTTGGGGTTGCACACTAAGCCTGGCTCTAGAGCAAGGGTGGGCAAAATGCGGCCTGCGGTCCAGATCCAAGCCATTCTATCCGGCCTGCAGGGCCCCTAAAAAATTTAGAAAACGAATATTAATGTGCTCTGGGCTGCCTGTCACGTGACCCTTGATGGCATGCCAAAGCTCAGTAAGTGGCCCTCCGCCCAAAAAAATTGCCCACCCCTGCTCTACAGCCACATGCTGGGATTGATCCAGACTCAGTGCATGGTCCCAGGCTTGGTGCATGGCCTTGGAGGCAGCACAAGGGGTCAGACTTGATGTGGCTCCAGAGCCAGTGCGCAGTCCCAGGCTCAGCACACAGCCCTGGCGGCAGCACACTGGCTCCAACCTGGAACATGGCTCTGGAGTCAGTGTGTGGCTACAGATCCAGCATGAGGTCCTGGACTCAGTACACTGGGTCCATCCTGGCATGCAGGTCCAGAACCAGATTGCTGGGCTAGACCTGGTGCCAGTGTGCTGGGTTGGTTTGTGGGCCCTACTGGTATGCAGGGCTTACAGCAGCCTTGGGAGCAAGCTTTGCTTCCTAGTTGCTGCCATTCACTCACCTTAATTTTTTTAGGCTTCCTTTCAAAATCAAGGTGTGTCCTATATATAGGGGTGTGTTATATGTAAAAAGCATGGCCAAGTGTCCTGATGAGTGGAGAAAAACCTTCTGAACCAAGCCATTAATTTCTGATTGCGGGAGGACATTTCTGCAGCGCTCCCTGGTCTTATACTGCCAGACTTTTGCTTTCCTTCTCTGCCTCCCTCCTTCCTGTCTGATTCCTTTCCCTTCTCTTCATTACTTGCCCACCCATCAGTCTAGGTAGGATGGAAAAGAATCCCAGGGAAGACCTAAAGGGCCCAGCCTGTTAAAAGGGACTGTTCCGCCTTCATGTGATGGGTGCACATAGATGAACTAGGCAGAGCATCTTAGAAGCAGTACTGTTTGCTCCAGCCTTTCCTCCCTCTCCTCTTTCCACTTGACCCCTTTTGATCCCAGGATCATCCCAGGGGACAGGGCAGCACTTAGTGGGGAGGGAGGGCCTGTACCAAGGCCTCTGGAGCACATCTTGCCAGGCTAAAAACAGTTTAATGTAGCCCTGATTAGGGACGTGACTTGCACCAAAATAGGTGCAGCCCAGCACTTTACACTGCCCTTGAAACAGCAAGTAAGTCGAATTAGGAGGCAAAGTGTTAATTTGGATAATTCACAGGAACTTGATATGGGGAACCGAGCTTAGTTGTCTGTAAGGTTTGGATCTGACGAGGCCCAGAGCACTCTGATGCCAATCAAACCTGTTGCCTGTGGAAACAGACGTCCCCCGATGTCTCATATGTGCTGCCGTATTTTTTTTTTATGAAGACACAAATGCTGAGCAAATAGACAATGATGCATATCAAGGGAAAATCAGTGCCACAACAAATGGCAATAGACTTTGCCACTCCATTGTGGGAGATTTCCATTACCTCTGTGGCACTTTTCCTGCTCAACCAGACCTGTCTTCTGCCAGGCTGAGGTCCTGGGACCTCCTGACCAACCTCCTCCTTGCCTTAGCCAGACTTGGGATATACCTGACTGGGAAGGAGGACTGCAGGGCCATTTTCCTGACCCTGATCTGTTCACATCTCCAGGCAGAGTTTCACTGGGCAGTGACCACTGGCTGCAGGGGATTGTCCTGCTTGCCCGCCCTGTGGCACGGCAACCAGATGCCCCTGAGGCCCGATGAGCGGTGCTGTGACAGCTGGCTGCGCTTCACCCAAGCCAAGTTTCCTGCCACATGTCACATAGATTGCACTGCAGAAGGGTGAAGCACGAGGGAATTACCACAAAGTAAAAAATAGACCCTCCCAGCTCAAAAAAAAGAGCCAAGGGGCTGCAGAGTGGGCCCTAGACAAAGAAATTCGTGGGCTCCTACTTAGTACTGCATATTTAGATATGTTTTCACTCAATAATTATAGTATGTAAAATGAGCACTTCCGGGCCCCTTCTTCACTTAGGTCCCTGGGCACGTGCCTCGCTTGGCAGCGCCCTTACCCGGCTCTGCTTGAAAGCCGGTGACAGGCGGGGCCGG